GTCGCGCTTTACGGCACCTTTTACGACACTTTGCGGCAGTCGCGCTTTACGGCACCTTTTACGACAGTCGTGGTTTACGGCACCTTTTACGACAGTGTTGCTTTACGGCAGGTTTGCGACAGTCGTGCTTTACGGCACCTTTTACGACAGTTTGCGGCAGTCGCGCTTTACGGCACCTTTTGCGACAGTCGCGCTTTACGGCACCTTTTACGACAGTCGTGCTTTACGGCACCTTTTACGACAGTGTTGCTTTACGGCAGGTTTGCGACAGTCGTGCTTTACGGCACCTTTTACGACAGCCGTGCTTTACGGCACCTTTTACGACAGTCGTGCTTTACGGCACCTTTTACGACACTTTGCGGCAGTCGCGCTTTACGGCACCTTTTACGACAGTCGCGCTTTTACGGCATTTTTACATCAGTCCCGCTTTACGGCACTACCCTTTATGGAACTTTTACAGTACTTTACAGCACTTTACAGTTTTTATTTTGTTTTTCATTTAATTTAATTATTTTTTTGATTTAATTTTCTCATTTTTAATTTTTCTCATTTTTAAGTTTTTTAATTAATTTTTTAAATGTAATTATTTTTTTATTTTTGAATTTTTAAAGCTTTTTATTTTATTTTTTATTTAATTTTTATTTAATTTTTATTTTTTATTATTTTTAAAGCTTTTTATTTTATTTTTTAAATTTTATTTTTTATTCAATTTTTATTTCTAATTTTTCTTTTTTAAGTTTTTTTTATTTAATTTTTTTAATTTTATTTTTTATTTAATTTTTTAAAAAATTATTCTAATTTATAGCTTTTTATTTTATTTTTTAATTTTATTTTTTAATTAATTTTTATTTTTAATTTTTCCTTTTTTAAAAGTTTTTTATTTTTTTATTTTTTATTTAATTTTTATTTTTAATTTTTATATTTTACAGCTTTTTATCTTTTTTATAATTATATTTTTTATTTAATTTATTTAATTTTTATTTTTAATTTTTCAAGTTTATTTTTTTCTAATTTTATTTTTTATTTTTTATTTTTAATTCTATTTTTAAAGCTTTTTATTAATTTTTTAATTTTTTTATTTAATTTTTATTCTATTTTTAAAGCTTTTTATTTTATTTTTTAATATTATTTTTCATTTAATTTTTTAAATTATTCTATTTTTCAAGGTTTTTATTTTTTAAATTTTATTTTTTATTTATTTTTTCTTTTTAATTTTTCTTTTTTTAAGGTTTTTATTTGTTTTTTTAATTTTATTTTTTGTTTAATTTTTAGTTTTTTATTCTGTTTTTAATGTTTTTTATTTTTTTAATTTTATTTTTTATTTCATTTTTTCTTTAATTTTTATATTTTTAACGTTTTTATTTTTTTCTAATTTTATTTTTTATTTAATTTTTATTTTTAATTATTCTATTTTTAAAGCTTTTTATATATTTTTTAATTTTATTTTTCATTTAAGTTTTTTAAATTACTCTATTTTTAAAGCTTTTTATTTTGTTTTTTATTTATTTTTTATTTTTAGTTTTTCTTTTTTTAAGTTTTTTACTTGATTTTTTAAATTTTATTTTTTATTTAATTTTTATTTTTTATTATTTTATTTTTAAAGTTTTTTTTATTTTTTAATTTTATTTTTTATTTAATTTTTATTTTTGATTTTTATATTTTAAAGCTTTTTTATTTTTTAATTTTATTTTTTATTTAATTTTCATTTTTAATTTTTCTATTTTCAAAGCTTTTTATTTTATTTTTTAATTTTATTTTTTGTATTTAATTTTTAGTTTTAATTATTCTATTTTTAAAGCTTTTTATTTTATTTTTTAATATTATTTTTCATTTAATTTTTTAAAATTATTCTATTTTTCGAGGTTTTTATTTTAATTTTTAAATTTTATTTTTTTATTTAATTTTTAAAAAATTATTCTATTTTTAAAGTTTTTTATTTAATTTTTTATTTTTATTTTTATTTAATTTTTATTTTTAATTTTTCCATTTTTAAAGCTTTTTTTTTTTTTTTTTTAGTTTGGTGCTGCCTAGACCAACTCAAGCTGGTGATTTTGGTGGTGTTTGAGGGTCTTGCATTACAGCAGTACCTTTTATGGAACTTTTATGGCACTTTACAGTTTTTATTTTCTTCTTCCTTTATTTTAAATTAATTTTGTTATTTTAATTTTATTTAATTTTTATATTTAATTTTTCTATTTTTAAAGCATTTTATTTTATTTTATTTTGTGCTGCCCAGACCTGCTGTAGTGCAATTTTATACTTTGTAATACTTTGAAGTAATTTTGTTTGGTATCTCCATATTTTTCCCAAATGGTTTATCCCAAACTGTACCCCCCTCCCTTAACCTGTGTTTTCCCTCTCCCGGGATGAGATCATCCCCAAACCCCCACCCTGGCTCTCTGTCAATCACTCAGATCCCATCCCCTCCATGCAGAAGTTTCGGTCCAAGTCATCGAGTGATTGTCCAGAGGCCAGGGGTCAGCCCCCCAAGCCTTGCCCCATACACTGTCCTAAATGTCCATCCCCCAGTGCCCATCCCTTAGGGTCACTTAATGGTTGGTAGGGTGTTCTCTACTGTCGGTTTCCACCTCCCTTTAAATGTGACCTTGGAACATCTCCTGGGGCTCTCAGCAGGAGGGTCCCTGAGGTGCAGGAGCTCCTTTGGGACTCCTAATAAAACCTTGGATTAACCCTGCTAAGAGTCAGCCCTTTATCATCTACTGATGTCTCTGGTGTCTCTTGTGCTGCATGGGTGCCCAGCCCAGCTGCCCTCAGTACCCTCGGGGCACAGGGAGTGTCTCCCCCCAGCCCAGGTGCCCTCAGCACCCTCGGGGCACACACAGAGGGTGTCTCCCCTCCAGGCCAGGTGCCCTCAGCACCCTCGGGGCACACACAGAGAGTGTCTCCCCCCAGCCCAGGTACCCTCAGTACCCTCGGGGCACACACAGAGAGTGTCTCCCCCCAGCCCAGGTGCCCTCAGCACCCTCGGGGCACACACAGAGGGTGTCTCCCCTCCAGGCCAGGTGCCCTCAGCACCCTCGGGGCACACACAGAGAGTGTCTCCCCCCAGCCCAGGTACCCTCAGTACCCTCGGGGCACACACAGAGAGTGTCTCCCCCCAGCCCAGGTGCCCTCAGCACCCTCGGGGCACACACAGAGAGTGTCTCCCCACCAGCCCAGGTGCCCTCAGTACCCTCGGGGCACACACAGTGAGTGTCCCCCCCCAGCCCAGGTGCCCTCAGTACCCTCGGGGCACACACAGAGAGTGTCTCCCCCCAGCCCAGGTGCCCTCAGTACCCTCGGGGCACACACAGAGAGTGTCTGCCCCCAGCCCAGGTGCCCTCAGTACCCTCGGGGCACACACAGTGAGTGTCCCCCCCCAGCCCAGGTGCCCTCAGTACCCTCGGGGCACACACAGTGAGTGTCCCCCCCCAGCCCAGGTGCCCTCAGTACCCTCGGGGCACACACAGACAGTGTCTCCCCCCAGCCCAGGTGCCCTCAGTACCCTCAGGGTACAGACAGTGTCTCCCCGCTCTCGGCCGTGTCGGGGCTGCCCCCCAGTTTCTGCTGACTTGGGACCGGCCGAGGGTTCCTGAGAGGCTCGCACAAACCCGCTCGGCCGCTGATTGTGGTGGTGTTTGAAGGTCCCCAGGACAAGGGAAGAGATGAGAATCTTGACTCCACCTTTCAGAAGGCTGAAATATTATTTTATGATCTCTATTATATTAAAAGAAAATATATGTCTATACTAAAAGAGCAAGGAGACATCAGAAAGCTGGAAAGGAATGAATAATAAAAACCTGGGACTGCTCACAGCCCCGACGCAGCTGGACCATGATTGGTCATCAAGTAGAAACAATGCACAGGAGACTAATCCAAGATGCCCCTGTTGCTAAACCATCTCCAGCCCACACTCCACAGCCAGCAGATTGTTATTGGTTCCATTTCTGTTCTGAGGCTTCTCAGGAGAAAAATCCCAGCAAAATTATTTCCATCAAGCACGTCAGTGCCAGGTGATGGCACAGGCAACATTGGCTGGCGAGGTCACTGTGTCATCCCTGCCAGCCCAGGTGTCACAGCAAGGAGGAGAGAGTTCACCCTGTGCTCAGCCTGCAATACAGAGCAATACACATTACCACAAGATGATAACCTTTTTCTGTTTTCATTACATGTTGATTTATTGTTACAGGAAACCCAAACCAACAAAAGCACACAAAGAACAACACTCATCTACCCTTAACACCCCCTTCAGCTTACACACAAACTCACCATCCCTCTCATCACAACTGCTAAATTACACCCCAGCAGCCATTGGTCCTCAGGAACGTGGTTCCCAGTAGCCTCCAAAAAATCCTCCTGCCTGACCAAAACCCCAGTCCCTGGATGGTCCACACCCAAATTTGGTGATTAACGTTGCCTTGCAGACCGACCGGGACTGAGGAAAAAAAAAAAAACCCGGCTGGGGATTTTTTATTCTAAATTTAAAAATGAGTTAAAAAACCTGAAAAGCAAAAGTCACACACACAAGTTTAAATCCAGTCAGGTCCCTCACTCTGGGTTAGCCCAAGGAGGTTTTTGGTGTGGCAGCAGGAGAAAGGTGTAACACACCCCTTCAAATTATATTTTATTCCTATATTTTATTCCTAGTGACACTGATGAGGCTTTTTCCCCATAAAGGGCATCAATTTGCTGTGGGAGAGCTTCTTTCCAAGCATTAAATTATATCCTTAAACAACTGTCGGCTCCATTTGCAAGCTGAAAAAAAAAAATCTGGATCATGTTTTCCTTCCAGTAGTAACCAATAACCAACAGACAGGGCCTTCACAAACACCTTACAGGAGTTACTTCTGACTGATCCTTTTGACTGGCCCATAAAAATAAGGCCAATTGATTGAACAGTGTTAAAGCTCATCAAATGCTAGCTAGGAAATACATGATTATTATTCATGAGCTGCAATTGATTTGAATGTTTTCCTTCAGTAGGACTGGAACCCCTGTGTTAGAATTTGTTGTTTAGCCAGAAAAAAGGCTTTTTTCACAATGGGGAGTTTACATAATCCACAATAATTTTAAGGAATCCTGAATGCTGCAATTTGCTTTTTTTCCTCATTGCTGTCTTGGTCAGTTTTGTTTTGCTGCTCCATGTTCAGTGTTTGTTGCATATTTATCATCAGCTTCTTATCTTTCTTATCTTCCTCATCTTTCCTTCATTCTTGCAGCCTCCCAGAAAGCAATCAGACTGGAAAATCCCCAAACAGAGAAATCAATGTATGCTACAGCTTGATGCCTCTCTTTTCAGTCTTGCTTTCAGCTTCTGGAGCTCAGAACTTTTACCAATTTTAAGCCCATAGTCTGTGATTTTCCAGGCCTCTTCATAACGCTGCTTTTCAAAGTTATATTGTGCAATTTTGTGAAAAGTTTGGGTTAAAGATTCCCTGCCAGGGCACTCAGAGATGGTGCCCAGGGCCAGGGGCTCGTCCAGCTGCAGGGCTTGCATGTAGTGCTGCACTGCTGCCTCCTCCCGAGCCAGGGCCAGCAGCAGGAAGCCCTGGCAGCAGTGATCCCCAGCCTGTGTTTTTGGGCTGTTACAGCCATGCCCTTGGATCACTTTTTCCATGTCTTTCAGAGCTTTTTCATATTTTTTCAGGTGCACCAGGCAGGCAGCTCTGTGCCTCAGGTACCTGGGGTTGGCCCTGCTGGCCAGCACAGCCAGGCTGTGGTAGCCCAGAGCCTGCTGGTGGTTGTGGCCTTTCATCAGCACCTTCCCTTCCTGGGATGCTGCCTGTGGGGACAGAGTAATCCATGTTAGTTAATAAAGGTGTTGCCCTGATTTTTTAAGATTTTTGAAGCTTTCTGATGTTTACATTCTTGTAACAAACTTTCTCACACACCTTCTGTAAATAACTTGTTGTTTTGCATTCTTTTGTGGAAGAAAAGAAATTTGATAGATTGTTAGTTTGCCAAGTGTCATTGGAGAGGTGGCGCTGTCACCCTTCAATCCACTGTCACTTTTTTAGAAAACTGTAAATGCTAGAGTTAAAAAATAAACTTCCCTTTTTTCACCTTGAGAGCAGTGCTATGTGCGCTCGTGTTATTTCATGTCCTATAGTGACATAAAGGGGAAAAAATTAGGGGAAAAAAAATCTAGTCTGGACTGGTCATACACACAGACACTAATTAGTTGTTTTATCAAATATTGGAATTACATCTAGCTGGAGAAATAATAATTTTTGCATACAGATAAGAGTTCAGCTGCTCCCTGCACGTGGCCTTGGAGGAGCATTTTTGTCATCAGCCTCATTGCAGGTGACCTGGAAGGGCAGGAAAATCCTTGGAGTGCATTCCAGGGAAACTGGAGTCCAACTTGTCATTAAAATCTTGATTTTGGCTTCCAGACTGAAATAATTCAGGTGCCACCTGGAAAGGGCCATGAGTTTGTGGGCCTCTGGATTGTGTCCCTGTGTCCCTTTTTTCCGTCTATTCAATCTTATGATATGACCAAGGCAAATCTTATGATATGACCAGGATATAAAACTCTTGGCCCACTGGGAACTTGCTGCTATCTCAGGAGCTTCTAAAGTCCTTTTTTTCTGCACAGAATTTCTTCTGAATTTGTTTAGATTTCTTAGGAATTATGAACAAAAAGGTGCCTGGACCAACATCCCCAGGTGCTGTCCCACAAATGCAAGAGCTAAAAATGAAATTTTTGTCTCTACTGGAGCTTACCTAAGACTAATTAAAAAAAAAAGGCCAACTGGTGGCTTTGCTAATTGTTAATCTTGAGTGCAATTTGAACTCCCTGCCCTCATCTGAAGGGAAAAACAACAACAAGAAAATAGAGAAGGCTGAAAGAGCCACATAATTTTTAGGTTCATGGAGGTCAATGAAGAAAAGTCTATTAGAAGTATTTGCCTCAAATGGATTTCTCATTATTCCCTTTTATTGGTAATAAATTAAGCTTTTAATGCGCTGCAGCAGAGTGAATATTCAGGTTATAAAGGCTGCCATCAGCAGCTGAGGGCTTGCAAAAGGCTGGGCCAAACAAGCTGAGGCTCAAGCAAAGGATAAATATTTGCATCCTCCTCATTTCAGGGGTAACTCCTGCTTGTGGATGCAGAAATCCAGTTAGCCCAGCCACTGGTTTAGTAGCCACACCTGACAGCCAGGTCAGGTCCTCCAGTTTCTTTGTGTGCCCCTTTTATTTTGGCTGACTGGGGTTAGGATTGATTTCTGTCTGCCAGGACTGAGAACAGGTTCTGCAGGAAAGGAATCAATACTGCAGGGCAAGTCCCAGCACCTCATCTGAGAGCAGTGGCATGAAATAATTTAGTTTATTCTCGTGGTTTAGGAGGAATTCTGCCCCAGTTATTTCATTATAATGCACATTATATATATATTTTGCTATATATATATATGTATATATATATAACAACAGATATATATAGCAATATATATCTCTATATAATATATATTGCTAAATAAATATTATATACATATAAAATATATAAAATATATGTCTATTGCTATTTTTCTTGACATAATATTTATTAAGGAGTCTCTCAGCTTCCATGCAGAGAAATAGCAATAGGACTTCTCCCCAAATAGTGTCAACCCCTGGCTTTAACAATTCTGGCCATAAATTTTCAGGCAGCCTGTCCAAACACATCTCAGATGTCTGTGTACATTTAAAGAGCAGCACATTTGCTTTGTCCTTTGAAATGTTTTTAAAACAACTCCTCGACCCAAGTGTCCCCTCAGTGGCAGGAATTTAACAAGGGATCAAGGTGGAATTGCAGCTGCCTGAGGAGCATCTTGGCAAGAGAAGGTGTTTTTTGTTCCCCCCTAGAAATTCCAGAGTTCTGGATCACATTGTTCCAAGGAACTCATTGCAGTTCCTCAAGATAGCTTGTGTTTGTGTAGTTAAATTGTCATTTTCAGCCTCTAAGGTGAATTTGTTGTCTCGGAGGCAGAAGAAAACACAATGGTTGTTGTTGTTGTGCTGAATGCTGAATCTGATGCTGGAGGTTTCAGTGCTCTAACCTGGGGCATTTGGGGTTATTGCACCACAATATTGCATTTATTCACTGAGCAATATTGCAATGTGGCATTTCTTCCCATTTCCCTGAGAGTCCCCACATCAAGCCACGAGATTCTGCCTTTCCTGCCACACGTGGAGGAAAAATCCCATCTGAAAAGAAAGGATTCCCTTTCACCCTTGCAGATGGAGCAAGGTTGGACAGTTGGATTCTGGATTCTCTTTTGGCTCTGCCTGATTTAAGGGACCTGAGCTGGGATGTTTTTGGGGTGTAACAGGGAAGGATTAATCAGCAGCTTGCACGTTATCTCCTAACAGAGATAAAGATGAAAACCAGGCTCAGGGAGAGAAGGCAAGGGAAGCCAGAAGGATGGCACGGCTGAGTTCAGCTGCTCCCTGCATGTGGCCTTTGGGAAGCATTTGTGTCATCAGCCTCATTGCAGGTGACCTGGAAGGGCAGGAAAATCCTTGGAGTGCATTCCAGGGAAACTGGAGTCCAAGTTGTCACTAAAATCTTGATTTTGGCTTCCAGACTGAAATAATTCAGGTGCCACCTGGAAAGGGCCATGAGTGGATCCCTGCATCCCTGGATTAGGTCTCTGTGTCCCTTTTTTCCATCTATTCACCTCACTGGGTGTAAAAGACTGAACATACACATATTTTTGTAGCATTTTTTGGTTCCTGCCCCTAGGGACCAATCTTATGATATGACCAAGGCTTAATTCCTTAGAAAGAAAAAGAGTGAGGAGTTTACTGGGCATGGAATTTATGGCCAAGGGTCATTCCCTGAGCAGCAAATCCCAGCAGATGGAATGATAAACTCTGAGCTTTGGGAGAGGGTTGGGTGTTTCCAGGAGAGTTTGGAGCAAGTTTTTCCTTCTCCACCTGCACATGCCATGAAGGCCATGTGGAATGGCAACTTCACCTAATTCTGGCACAGACCATGCAGTTTTGGAGACTTTTTTTTGTAGGTATCTGGATCTCCACAGCAGCTGCAGCCCCAAGGATCTGTGTGAGGGGTTGAGAATCAGTCGTGCATTTACCCCTGACTTAGGAAAGCCAAGGGTTGAAGCTGCACGAGCAGCAAAGCAAACTCCCTTCCTCTGACCTTTTGCAGCTTAATAAATCTTTCAGATTCCTATTCCCATGGGGCTCTCCCAGTTGTTTACAAACTTCTCAGCATGGGACCCCTTTCACTATAAATAATGGGAGAATTTTATGGCTTTGTTTTCTATGAAATGGGAAAGAGTACATCAAGGAGCTCTCTCCTTCCTCCACCCTTTCCTATTCAGCTTATGGAGAACTATTTTTAGCTCTTCAGACCTGGCTCCAGGATAATGATGACACGTTTTAAAAATGCCTATAATTCCAAATTCTCAAAAAACAATGTGGCAGAAATGCTTTTGTGCTGGAGTGCTGAGACTGGGTGTGAACTCTGAACTCTTCTTTTCCTACCTGGGAAATTCAGGAACAGAGCAAGCTCCCTCTCCCAGGGTAGGAACCCCAGCAAAGCCAGGCCATCATTGGGAATTTTAGCATTAATTCTGTATGAAAGCTTTTAAAACTTTGCTTTTATTGAGATCTTCCTTTCACAAACCAGAATAAGCTGACAGGCAAAAGGAAGTGCTGCTGGGAAATCCTTTGAGACACTGGGCAGGTGGATGAAACAATTCCTTCCACACCCCAGAGAGCACACACTCATCCCCTGGTCACAAAATAAATCTAAAGACTCCCAGGTGCTTGAGTTCAAACATTGAAAAGCATGAGATGAAAGGGAGCAATGTTTTCTTTTTAAACTCCCAACCCTGGTATTGGGCTCCAGTTTTGGAATCAGCCTGGTCACACCTCTTGTCTCAATCTCTCATGATAAATGAGCCACAGTGAGGGGTTTTATTTCAGACACAGCTGCCAAAAAGAGACAGAAGTAAGTTTCTCTCCCATTTTAAAGGCTTCACTCACATGTGGCACCAGTGGGTTCTCACTTGTCAGTGCAGTATAAGCGATACAAATGTTAGTTTGATTTTTTTCTTTTCATTTTCCTTTTCTTCCTGACAAGTTCTTTTCTTCCTCCTGTGTTGCCTCAGAAGGGAAGCAGCATGGATGGACTGGGCTGTGAGACCCCCACAGAAGGAGTGATGTGGCAGCAGGGGAAATTCAGCTCTAAAATGTGTCTTCATTTACAGACACCTCCTTAGGGCCTCCCTAGTCACAGTCCCAATTGTTCCTTTATCAGCTTTCTAAAGTGGAAGATTGCAAATTGCCTCTGAAATCTTCCAACTCTTCCCCCTAAGACTGAACTTTTTACATTATTTAGAAGAGAGGGGCTCTTTTCTCTGTAATGGGTCATGTCTGGGGACTGGTAAATTAATACTTGTTTACTTATATCCTCCTGCTGTTCTGTTCAAATACATTCCAAGGGCTCCCCTTGCTGCATTAAGGATATCAGCATGTTATTTGTTTTATAACCTGGGAGAGAGCATAACAATATAGCTTCTCACCAGGGTGCACACCAGCAACAAATTGAATAAAAGGAAGCAAACTGATTCTCAGAATCCAGAGCTTCTGGGTAATCAGAACTGCAGATGCTTGGCTGAGTGTTAAAACTCTTCACCATCAATCTGACCTTCTCTTGTCTTATTATTGGAGATACTTTCTGGGTGTACTTTGGGGGAGAAACAAGAAAAAATGCTGAATAATAAATACTTGGGAGGGGGGGATCAGAGCTTTGTGGCATTGTTGTGTCAGTTTTACCTAAGAAAACCAGCCTCAAAGCCTTTATTTTGTAAAAAATGAGATCATATTAGAAATCCTAAATGTTGCACAAAAGAAGGGTGGAAGTATTTAATGTCACTGAATTGAAATACTCAGCTCTTTTCATCATGAAAATGAACAAAACATGAATCCCCCTTCACCAGGAGCCATCCATGAGCCCCGTGTATCCCCCAGAGTACAACAATTAGCAATGATCTGTTAAATCTCTACCTGCTGCCCTCACACCCCCTGAATTTCAGTGTGGGCATCACCAGCTCTTGTGCTAGGGAGACGGAAAAGGAATCCCAAGTGCTCAGATGTGGCAGTGATGGATTACTAGAGACTGATCAAGGTCACTGCAGTGGAAGAAGTTTGGCTCCAACTCCCTGACCTAGCTGGAGGAAAAGCCAATTTGTGCCCTATCCATCTGCTGAAACTCTCCCCACGCACTTCTCAAGGCAGGGAGAAATTCCTGCAAAATCCCAGTTTTGCTTCCCAATTCTTTCCCCACTGAATCCACAGATGTGGGATCCAAATAAAAGGGCTGTACCTGAGCAAGGTGCTGCTGTTTCTTGGTGTCTACAAAGTTCAGGAGAAAGGCCAAGTCCTTCTCATCTCTCCTGGCCAGGACGCTGAGAGGGGCAGCTGCTCCTGCCACGTTCCTGCCCTGCAGCTGCAGCACAGCCAAGCGAGCCCTGGCTGTGTCCTCAGCAGGACAGTGGCCAAAGGCTTCCTGCAGGTGCTTGAGGGCCTCTTGGTGCCTTCCTGTTGGGGAACACCAGCACAAACTCCATAACCCATCCCATGGGGAGAAAGGTACCGAGAAACCACAGCGAGGCAGGGGTCAGGCAGCCAGTCCACGTCTGAAGGCATTAATTATGTCACACCCTGTCAGAATTCAGGGCATCTCTCTGGCTGTCCTGGATTGCCAGGACCTCTGCCAGGGGGCACAGAGCCCAAGATGCCTGTGGTTTTGATTATGACCCATGGAGCAAGTTGCCAACCTTACATGAGGATCTGCAAGCCACAAAAGTCTAAGCAGAATAATAATCAGTTTGTCACGGGGTGAAAAATAGATTTTTTGGGGTTTTTGGAATGGGAGTTCAGGGGGCAAGATGGAGGAATCTGGGTGTGTCCAGCCTTTCTCCTTCTTCGTCTTGGCCTCCGTGTTCTGCTATGATGTTGGCACTTTTGGGTTGGTTTAGAGTAGAAGCTCAGTGTCTAACATAGGTGATGGGTATTGGGAAGGAATTGTAAATATTGTACATGTAGTTTTCAGTATAAAAGATAACACTGCCCTGGGGGCTGCCAGCGTACCTCTGTCTGACCTGCTGAGTGGAGCTTGGCAGGTCAGGAGAAAGAATTTTATAGATAAGAAGCAATAAACAACCTTGAGACCAAGAACTGAAGAGTTCTGACTCCTTCTTTGACTGCCAGGCTGGGAAAAGAGACTTTCTAACACATCTTGGGATCACTTTGACCAGTTAAAGTCCCAAGAATACCCTGTCCCAGAATGTTTCCAAACTTCTTTTCAGAAGTACCATCCAGCACCATCCACCATTACCCAGCACCATCCAGCATTATTCAGCACCGTCCAGCACCACCTAGAACCATCCAGCAACACCCTTGACATTTAATATTTACATCTATTCATTTTCTGCTCCCTCACGAGGCCTGACCAGCTGTGCTGAAGGACTGGAACTCACCATTTGCCATCAGAACGTCAGTGTAGAAGATGTGATGTTGTGCAGCCCTGCAGATCTTGGTCAGTGCTTTTGCCATCGTGAGTAGGTCCCCAAGGGTTTCTTCTCCTGGGACATCTTTGGTGGCCATGAGCTCGCTGAGAGTGGCCCTGCCATGCTGGAGGAGCCACCCAGTGACCAACCCTTGGGCCTCAGGCTTCAAGGACAGGATTGCTGGGATCACTGCTCCTGCCTCCACCTTCAGTGCTGAGATCAGATCTTGCACTGCCTCCTGTGGAAAAACAGCACCAAGGAAAGAAGTGGAAGCAATAATTAAGTATTGATCATTTGTTCTTTCAGCTGCTTTCTGTTCTCTGCTGAACCACAGAGAAACTCTGCTCTTCCCTGTCCTTGTGCTGCAGCTTTTCCATTTGCAAAGCTGATAGGAGGTCATAAAGGCAGGTTTGAATCAGTGTTTGCAAAGTGCTTTAAACTCCTTGGGTTATCACAGAAAATCATGACCAAGGTTTACCCCTCCTTTCCCTAGGCTTGGAAAGAAAATCAGCAAAGCCAGATGAGCTGTTCATACACCCAGCCAAAGCCAGAGCCTTTCACTGCCCAAATTCTGTGAGAAACTCCTGATTCCAGCGATTTCACAACGAATTCTGTGATGCTTTACACTCATTTTGTTCAGTACCCTCAGAAAAACCAGCAAAGCCCCACATGGACAGTACCTTCTGCTGCCTCAGAGCAAGGTGAACAAACCCTCGGCCACTCAGAGCTTGCACATTCCTGGGATCCTCCTTCAGGACAGCATTAAAATCAAAAATTGCAGTTTTCATCTGCCCAAGGCGCCCATAGCATCGTGCCCTGGTGAGAAGGCAATCCTCAGCATAACCACCTGGAGGACAGGGATGCAGCCATGGTTACTGCAAGGATACCCACAGGAAGCTCCAAAAAAGCTCCACTTGGCCTGGGGATACCTCAGGATGAAGTACAATGAGAGTTTGCTTAAGTGGAAGTTTTCTTTATTGTTGTTGCAAGTGGAATTCCTGCTACGTGTTGAAAGGAAAGAAGAATCTGTGTCAGGCTGGAGTGGGAGCAGCAGGAATGAGAGGAGAAAGCCCTAAGAGGGAGATCTGGGACTGCGTGAGAGTGGAGGCACGAAGCCATTTGGCTGTTTTAATAAAGTGGGGGCAGAATCACAGAATAGTTTGGGTTGGAAGGGACCTTAAAGAGTCCCCAGCCCCCTCCCACGGGCAGGGAAGGTACACATTGTTTTGGATAAATGAGTTATCCAGATGGGACTGACTAATTCCCTGCCAGAATTAATATGCACTGGGATTTGTGATACTGAGCTGCTTTTTCTTTTTTTCTTTTTTCTTTTTTTGTTCTGCTTTCACACAAGTGCTGCCCAAATAAACACATAGAGTTGTCAGAGAAAATCCTGGTCCCTCCATTCCCTGCCTGCAGAGCATTTCTCTGCCTGCCATCCACATATCCCTTCCTTCCAAGGCAATTTCGATAAGGATCTTAATATGCTCAGGGTTGCAATCAATAACTGTGGCATCCAATATTGGATGATAAATCATCAGTGCCACTGGAAATATGTTTTCATAGGGAGGTCAGCAAATGCAGCTGCCTGCAGGGATCAGCCAGCAGACAGGCTCCAAGCAATTCCTCTGCAGTAATGAGGCTTTTTCTCCCTCCTGATTTGCTCCAAAACTTCTGTACCAAAGGTTATTATCACTCTGGAGCTCTACCAGTTGGCTCCTCTAAAGACAATATCTATTTCTTAACAAGCATCTGTTCTAGCAGGTGGGGAGCTGATAAGCTGGAATGCACGGGCTGTGAAATGGAACCATCTCCAAGCAATTAACAAGGTTTTTATTCCATTTCCACCAGCCAGCCTCTCTTCTTTTCAGTGCTGCTGTCATAACATTTGCTCAGAGTGAAAGGCAGATTTCCATACAAACATGGTTTTACTTGGAACACGCCAGAAGAATTTCCATGTCAGCCTGGTCTCTCTCCTGAGGGAAAGCTGGGATGGTGAAATGTGTGAGGGGCTGCATTCACTCCTTTGCACTGGGTGAAGATGAGGGGGTGATGTCCCTGTAGAATTGAGCTGAACCCAATAAAATGCCTTGAAATTTGAAATTTAAAATTTTTGAAATTTAAAATTTTTGAAATTTAAAATTTAAAATTCCTGGCCCAGGTGAACCTGCTGTGTCAGCCCTCACCGGGGAGGTGACAGAGGACATCTGGACATCCTGTCCCACCCACATGATTTCCCTTAGGAGCCAATCCCCACGGGCATCCTGGTGCCCTACCTGCAGCAAGGATGGCAAAGGACAGGTGGGCAATGGCCTCTTTGATGGCAGCAGCCTCCTGTTTGCCCTTCAGGATGGCCAGGGCTCGCCAGCGGCAGTGCCTCTGCAGCAGCTTTCTGTCCTCGTCCTGGAAAATGTCCAGCACTGGCAGGAGGCAGGAGGAATCTCCAATTCTGATCAGTCTCCTCAGCAGCTTAAGGATGGGAGAGGAAAAGGCAGCAGAGAAAGAGTTGAATGGGATGTGAGGTTGTGTGTGAGAGATTTGTGTCCTTCCCCAGCTTCCCCACCTCTCCCTGGAGCTTCAGCCAGCCCAGGATCAAAAATCTCCCTGATTTATCCCCTCAGCTGGCCCTGCTGTGAATGCAGGTTGGAGAAAACAGGAATTCTTATCTTTCCTCACCACCACTGCAGCTGTGGAAATAATCCTGGGCAAATACCTGGTGCTGCCTGCTTTGTTTTGGGCAGCATCCACATTGGCCCAGTGGAGTGTTTTTATAAATACAGGACGACTGCCCAAAAAAGAGAATGTTCCTGTGGAACACAAGGATTCCAGTGACCCTTTTGACTGCAAAATCAAAACCACTGGATTAATGGAAAATTAGGGAAGTGCTGTAAGTTATTTTTAGTATTATTATTGGTAATCTGGGAAAAGCACTCACAAAGTACTGTCCTTCTGGAAAAGAATCCTGTCTGACCTTTGGTATCTTTGCCTCAACAAGCACTTTTTAAACATAATTTCCAATGAAAATGAATCAAAAGATGGCTTTTACAGTGCTCAGCAGGGACTGGATATTCAAATCTGAGCCAGAGAAGTCTGGACAAGAACAAAGTTATCCTGATGTACCAGACACGTCCCTTGAACTCATAACTTTCTCTATTTTATTGATAGATAAAAGTGATTGGCATCTGACAGGCAGGTGGGCTAAAAGTATTTTGAAGAGAAATTTCAGATGTTCCATGCAGAAATTGCAGCAGAAGCTGCAGATGGAAATCCAGCTTCCAAAGAGAGCACTGTAATAAAGCCACATCCTTCATTAACAGCCATCCTAAAAGCAGCAAATTACAGCAAACTTTTATTTTTCATAGGCAGTAGTGAAGTGCTGACAATAAAACCTTTCTCCTTATGGGTTAGCAGAATTTATATGGCATTTTAAAAAGAATACAATAGTTCCCTCTGATGGCAGACCCTGGGAATTCAGCTTTGTAATCCTGGGTAGGAGAACTAACTTTGCTGGAATGGCTTTTAGGGTTTCCAGCACAATTTATCAGCATTGGAGAAAGAAAACTGCAGACTGATATGGGAGTTTCTGAATTTGTGTCTTTCTTCTCCAAGGCTTTGTTAGGATAACTGGGGAGGTGCCTTCTTTTCTCTAAGGGAACATTCCCAATCCCATAATGTTGTCCCTAGGGACTGCCTGGTTAAAGTGCTGAGAAATGCCATTAAAAATCACGTCAGGAACGAGCTGGATTTAACTGGGAGTCCTTGTGTGGCCTTTTTGGACACAAATTCCTGTGATTCTATGATTTGATGGCAACATCAGCCCTCTATTTACATCTTTAAGTTCTGCTAGAGGTTCTGTATGTGGGCTCCAAGATTCACTGTTCCCTGCTGCCATTCAGAGAGCTCCTAACAGCAAAGTTTAGTTATAAAGGGGAAATGCACCCAAACCACTGAACACAGGGATTAATCTGTAATTTCACTGCTGTCTGGGGGAAATTTGGCAAATCAGCTGTTGAGGAGGGAATGACCCTGAGGATGAGGCTTTCCAAGTGCTCCTTACCTGGTTGCCATCGTACACAGAGCCTCTCTTGAGCTGCAGCAGGGCCAGCCTGGCCAGCACAGGAGCCCTCTGGGGGTTCCTGGAGAGGGCCAGTGACAGCATCTCGTGGGCTTCTTCCCCACGGCCCATCTGGTACAGGGCATCAGCACACAGGATCCGGGATGCCTCGTCAGAGCTGTCCAGCTCCACCAAGAGAGAAGCCAGCTGGAAAACCCCAGGGGCATCTCTGGAGTGGGGAAAAAAAAAAAAAAAGCCAACAAAACAAAACACCTTCAAGGTTAGGGATGTGCACAGCCCTGTTTGCTTTTTCTGAAAAGAAAATGAGCTGCCTCCTGGGTACCTCTTCTTCTGGAGCATCATCTGTCCTTCCTCCTGGAGGACCTTCAGCAGCAATCCCCTCTGGTTCCATGGCACATAGGACTTGATGGTGAAGATGGTTTCATCCAGCTTTAACTGGCAAGCTGTGATATAATCCAGGGCTGTCAAGTAATTGCTGCCACCAGAAATACGGATCAGCCCACGCCCACACAGGGCTTTGATGCAGCTGCTGGGATGTGGGGACTCGTGCTCGATGACCCTCTGGAAGTCCTGCAGGGCTCCGTGGTGGTCCTGGGCGTGGAGGGAGCAGAAGCCTCGCAGTGCCAGCAGGGTGTTGTGGTATGTGCTCTGCTCTGCTGCCAGCAGCTGCTCACACATGTCCAGGGCAGCCCCGGGGTGTCCCTGCAGGAGGTGACAGTCTGCCAGCCGGACCCTGAGCTCCCGGCTGGACCCTGGGCAGATGTGCAGGAGCAGCTGGATTGTCTGGATGACAGGAGGGAGCAGCTCAGTGCCACAGGTGCTCCTGAGCTCAGCCCGAGCACGCACAGCCTCCCTGTAGGATGCAAACCTCCCCTCCAGGGCAGCTCTGGCCTGCTCCTCGATCTTCTCAGCATCACAGGGTGAGAAAAGCTCTTCAAAGCCTTTCATTGCCTGGGCAGGGTCTGCTGCAAAAGCTGCTGCTAAATCCTGCATCATTTCCTGCGTGCATCCTCCCAGGAAGAAATACCCAGCAGCTCGTTCCAGGAGCAGAGCCAGAACGTCCTCACCTCCGAGATTCTCAGCTGAGAATCCCTCAAGGGCCTTGGTGCAAACAGCCACACACTCCTGAAACTCTCCTGTTTTTCGGAGGTGGGCTGCCCGTGCCCTGCACACCCAGGCGTGCCCCGGTGCCACTGCAGCCAGGAATCTGTAGCACTCACCCAGCCACTGCTCCGAGGATCTGCAGCCTGGGCTTTTCTCCTGGCACGTGGAAAGATGATCAGAGAAAGCTTGGATGACCTGGGGCAGGTGCTCCCTTTGCCTGCTGCACACGTAGGCTGCTGCCTCAGTTTGGTGCAGCACAAAGGCTTGGACATAATCCAGGATTCCCTTCCCAGCCTGTGTCCCTGAGAGCACCCGTGCCAGCGCCCTCAGCAGCAGCAGCTCCATGGAACCCCTTGGGTTACCCTCCAGCAGGAGATTGCATTTCCTCACCACCTCCTCCGAGCACCCTCGCCTCAGCAGGGCCTCCAGCTCGTACACTGAGGCCACCACGTTGTTGGGGATGAGGGTGGAGAGGAAAATCGCAGCTATTCCCACGCTGAGGGACACCACGGCCAAGTTCCTGCTCTGGATTTTGGGGATCTGAGCCTTGCCTTGGCACCAGGCCTCCAAGGTGGCCACCACTCTCTCCCAGAGCCCGTGGGCCATGGAGTTCACTCTCTGCAGTGCTGTGGGGGCGCAGCAGCTGAAGGCAGCCAGGTAAAAAGCCGTGGCTGCTGGAAATTCCTGCAGGGAGAGGCGCTCGTCCCCTTCCCCACAGAGCAGGGCGGCGAGCTCCTCAGGGGACATGGCCGGGCCTTGGGCCTTCACCGAGCGGCGTCACGGGCAGGACATGGCCGGGGCCTGGAAAACAGAAATGAGGGCCTGTAGAACAGGGTTTGGGCAGAAAATCAGAAATGCGGGGATGTGGAGCAGGGTTTGAGCAGAAAATCAGAAACCAGGGGCTGTGGGGTAGAAAATCAGCAGTGAGGGGCTCTGGAGCAGGGTTTGAGGCAAAAATCAGCCGTGAGGGGCTGTGGAGTCAGAGAATCAGCAGTGAAGGGCTGTGAAGCAGGGTTTGAGCAGAAAATCAGAAATGAGGGGCTGTGGAACAGGGTTTAAGCAGAAAATCAGAAACCAGGGGCTGTGGAGCAGGGTTGGAGCAGGAAATCAGAAATGAGGGGCTGTGGAACAGGGCTGGAGCAGGAAATCAGCAGTGAGGGGGTGAGGAGCAGGGTTTGAGCAGAAAATCAGTAATGGTGGGCTGTGGTGCAGAATTTTAGCAGAAAATCATCAGAGAGGGGCTGTGGAGCTGGGTTTTAGCAGAAAATCAACCATGAGGGGCTGTGGAGTAGAATTGTAGCAGAAAATCAGCAGTGAAGGGCTATGGAGCAGAGGTTTGATAGAAAATCAGTAATGGTGGGCTGTGGAGCAGAGTTTCAACAGAAAATAATCAATGAGGGGCTGTGAAGCAGAGTTTTAGCAGAAAAACAGCGATGAGGTGCTGTGGAGCTGAGTTTTGACAGAAAATCATCAGTGAGGGGCTGTGGAGCACAGGTTTGAGAGCAAATCAGCAATGGGGGACCATGGAGCAGAATTTTAGCAGAAAATCAGCCATGAGGGGCTCTGGAACACAAGTTTTTCCATTTGCAGGGAGCAGTTTTTCAAATGCCAGATGCCAGAAAACCCAGGCACTCTGAAAAGCCAGGGTTTGGTTACTGCCAGGTTTCTGAGGGAGTAAAGCCATGATGAGAAACATCACAGAGGTTCACAGAGTAAAGCCATGATGAGAAACATCACAGAGGTTCACAGAGAAGCACCCACCCCCTTGGTCAGTGTTCCCTGCCCATGAACGAGGCTGGGGAAACCATTTGATAAATTTTTAATCATCAATGTCACCGCTGGTGGGGACACGGAGGACACAGAGCCACCACACCTCGATGCTTCACCCACCCCTTACCTTTTCTTTTGGCCTGGAGGAAGGAGGATAAAATCGGGTTTTTTCCACCCAGCAGACAAGACGAGGCTCCTGCCCCTCATCCCGCACACCTGAGCCCGACACTGCCGATACCTGAGAGGGGACGAGACGGGGCTGGGACGGGGGGGATGGAGGAAAGGAAGGAGAAAAGGAGGGAGGGAGAACAGGGCAGGAGCGGGCGCTGTGTTGCCTGGAGACCGCAAACACTGCCCGGTCCCGGTGTCCCACGGGGCGGGGACGGGCACGGGAACCGTGCCTGAGCTTCTCCCTCCTTATCCCGAGGGACCGGCAGGGATGCTCAGGGCATGGCCTGGGCATGATCCTCCTCATCTGACAGAAATGATCCCACTCACCTCGGGGAAAACATCTCCACTGCTTTGGGGAAAGGATCCCACTCACCTCGGGGAAAGGATTTCACTCGGGGAAAAGGATCTTCCTCACTTTTGGGATAGGATCCTCCTCACTTTGGGAAAAGGACCCTCCATCACTTTGGGGATGGGATCCTCCTCACCTCAGGGAAAGGATTCCACTCACTTTAGGGAAAGGATCCTCTTCACCTTGGGGAAAGGATCCCCTCACCTTGGGGAAAGCATCCCCATCACTTTGGGGAAAGGATCCATTTCGCCTTGGGGAAAGGATCCCCCTCACCTTGGGGAAAAGATCCCCCTCACCTTGGAGAAATGTTCCCCATCATCTTCAGGAAACTAACCCAGGTCATGACCCTCAGCAGGACAAGATACAGGAAATTATTTACACGAAACAGCAAACTCTGTGAGGCAACCTAAACTTTTAACATTATTTTTTATTAATAAGCCTTGAATTTTAATCATAAACATTATTTTTAATAGTAAACCTCATTTTTAAATAGCTACTCCTACTTTTTAAATAATAACCCTTATGTTTTAAATAATAACCCTTATTTTTAAATCATAGCCCTTATTTTTTAACAATTAGAGTGTTTTTAGCAATAGATCAACTCTGGTTTTGGGAGTGTTCAGCCTGATGATGTCCCTTTAAGCCAGGGCCACTCTGAAGTCCAACTCTTTCTTTCTCCACATTCTTTGACATTTGAAAGAGTAAAAAAAAACCCTCTTTATGATGAATAGAGATTTTTTGACATTTTATTAAGAGTTTGCCCATTACGTTGATTTGATTACTTTCACTTTAATTACCCTAATTAGCCATCAAGATATAATTTAGCATTGCTGTCACATCGGGCCACAGGTGATATTGCCAGGAAAAGACTCAAGGGCACGACAGAAGCAGTTCTGAAATAGAAATCACATTAAGGGGAGCTGACTTGATCAAATGCCTCTGCCCCTCCTTGGAGGCTCAGGCAGAGCTTGTGGGAATAAAATTGGGACTGGAGCCTCCAACAGAGCCTGGTCCAGGCTGCAAAAATCATTACCCATCATCTGACTTTGCTGCATGACTGAGTGGGCTGGAAGTTGCTTCCAGCCACGTTTTGCCCCGTAGATACAGAGCGTGTGAGGATGGCATTGTCCTCCATCCATCATTTCCAGCTGGAAAAGGCTGGTTTGGGTAAGGATCCCGTGTGCTCCCTGCTGTACATGGATGGTTTAGGGGATGCTGTGCTTGGCCAAAAAAGGCAGCAGCCTCATGAAATGTTGTTTTGTTGACTTTAGGTGAGGAAAACACAACCAATTTCATGTTGTGTATCAAACTTAAATCAATTTAGGTTCTTAACTCTGGAGCTTGAAGGAACAAGAGGAGCAACATCTAAGGAGCTCAGTGTAAAAAGAGAATATTTCTGTATTCTGCCCTGGTGTGATCCCTGAGAGTGTGAGTTTTTAAACCTGTTGTTGTAAGAGGTGGAACCAGAAAAGTCTCTTAAAGACTTAGAGGTTCTTCTCAAGCTCCCAGACAATTTGCTGTGTGTCCTGTGGGGCAGATAAGACCAGCTCCTTTCCTAAAAGGGTCATAAAAACACAGGGCAGGGGAGGGAAATTGTGGAGATGTTTATCTAAACATTAAATATTAAGTCTGCTACACATGCATTAAATAGTAACTCTACTACAACAGCTCCTCAGGATGTCTCTGATTACTGATGAATTTTTAAAGGGAGGTGGGTGGGGAGGGAGTAAATACAGAACAAGTTTGCAAACTTTGTTTTTCCTGCTTTGCAGAGCAGGAGGTGCACAAACACACGTGCAACAGCCCTGCTCAGAGTCAGGGCTGAGAAATCCTACACTTCTTTCTTTTAAATGCTCTCAATTCCTGCAGGGTAACAAGTCCCTTTTCTTACAGCTGTTAAATGCCACGTGTAGCTCTGGCTGAGGCTGAGAAACCAGCATTTTGGGGTTGAAAATTCGGCTTAAAAGGAGGATGACC